CTGCGACATGTTGCAAACTACAGTTACAACTTAGGAAACTCCTCTCTAGTAGTATCCCAAGTCGAAAAAGATTTAGGAGTCCTGGTGCCCCATGACTTAAAGTCTTACGCTAACTGTGACAAAAATGCCTTCCGAGCAAACCTTGCACTGGTAACGTTGAAGCGCATTTTCGGACAGTTTGACGGACGAACTTTCCATACAATCTTCAATAGCTTCATCCGTCCCCATTTAGAGTACGGAAACATAGTACTCCCTCCCTCACTCCAAAAGGACAAGGTCACTTTGGAGCGTATCCAACGGCGAGCCACGAAATCAGTTCGAGGACTCAAATCTAAGCCTTACGAAGAACGCCTCCGTTCACTAGACCTTTACCCACTAGAATATAGGCGTCTTAGAGGTGATTTATTAATGGCTTATAGTATTCTTAACACTTCTGGACATCCTCTTAAACACCTACTTAAGCTTAGTTCGAATAATAACCTAAGGGGTAACACCCAGAAACTGGAAACACAACACAGCAAGACGGAATGTAGACACAACTTCTACTCCTTAAGAGTTGTCAAAAGCTGGAATTCGCTGCCGGCCGAGCTAGTCCAAGCGACTTCTCAGGAGTCCTTCAAGAGGCAACTTGACCTATTCTTAAGGACCAAGGACAGCATCACATTATGATTTACCAATTTCTTTTCCTTTTTTATTGCTAACATACCTAGGTTCCTGCCTGGAGGATTTGATGATCCCCTGCTACTAGACACGGAAGCCTGTTAAGCGAAAGCTTCTTCTATTCCGTCCACAACCATTTGAACCATTTGAAGCTCATCATAAAGATATTGGTTACTGAACATTGCACTTTCAAGGTCGTGTGTGTTTGCTAATTATAACAGGCAAGTTGTCACGAGGCCTTAAGTGAGTTTAGATAACTACAAGTAATAAAAATATAGACGTTTCGTTTTCTCAGCTGAGGAATCTGTTTGTTCGACCATGGATTTTGCGCCTATATTTGATGTCGAGTTCATTACTTGGGGTGTTGTATATCCGCACTGTCTTCTGCCAAAGAAAATGTTTAATCTGATCTTAGATTGTAACACAGTCCAATGGCTTGCGTAAATTCTGGGGTTTTCTACAAAAACACAAATGAGTAATTTTTTCTTTAGTCTGGGGAAACTCCGAGCTGGTAAAAATTTCGAGGATTTTAGTCTCATTTCCTCGAAAAACCCCTAAGTTTGGGACCTGTTATTCCGAAGATGGGAAGATTCTGTATAGGTCCTGATTAAGACATATTACTTAGTAACTCTCGAAAATGTGAGAATATAACATCGGTAGGCAGTCTACTGCCTTGAAATCCCAGTATAGAAAAGTCCGAAATACCTGTGCCTCGACCCTCCGTAAGTCTAGAAAGTTATACGAAGAAAATATTGTTAAGGAATCCATAGAATGTCCTAAACGCTTGTATCCTTATATAAACCAAAGGACAAAGAGAAAAGGAAATATTCGTGCTCTATGGGGAGACAGTACTGCCGCGTCACTAGTGGAGGCCGACTTTGGTAAGGCTCAAGTATTCTCAAACTACTTCAGCAATGTATACACCATAGAAGCACCCTTCCCATCAGCGCATACAGATCCCCCCACACATACACTGAATAGCGTGACCAATAAAGAACTCGATGTCTTTGGTCTACGAAATAAGCTTGACATAGGTAAATCCACGGGGCCTAATGAATTACATCCTAGGCTAATGAAGGAATTATCTAACTTCGTTGCGAACCCTTTAAGTATATGCTTTAACCTAACCGTAACGCAGGGTCGTTTCCCAAAAGACTGGAAAAACGCCATAGTAAGTTCTGTCTTGAAAACAGGTACGAAACACAAACCTGAGAATTACTGCCCCGTTAGCCTAACTAGTGTGGTTGTTAAAATCTTAGAAAAGATTATTCGGAAAGAGCTTTTTAAGTACCTCAATGAAAACCGGATCCTTTCGGAGGAGTGGCATGGCTTTAGAATAGGTTATTCTTGTTTCACTAACTTATTAGTGGCTCGTGAAAGCTGGTGCACCCTTAAGGACCAAAAGTTATCTGTAGAAGTAGCCTTCATTGATTTCAGCAAAGCTTTTGACAAAGTTCCGCGTAACCGGCTGTTATATAAGTTAAGAAATGTCGGGATTGGAGGCAATCTATTTATGTGGATAAAAGACTTCTTAGTTGGGCGTCAACAAAGAGTTCGGGTGAACTCAAAGTTATCTAGCTGGGAAACTGCTTAGTGGAGTGCCCCAGGGTACAGTTTTGGGGGCCAGTGCTATTCCTCTTGTATGTAAATGACCTTCCTCGTCTCTTATCATCATCGGTCTTGCTATATGCTGACGATGTCAAGATATGGAGAACGATACGATGTGAGGGTGATAGCTTAGAACTTCAAAATGACCTGCAGAAATTATCTGAATGGTTTGAAACCTGGCAGTTGTCGATAAATACTTCCAAGTGTGTTGTGATGCATATCGGTCATCAAGGTACAGATACATACACGATGAATAACACTGAGCTACCTGTTGTCAAGACATATAATGACTTAGGAGTCGTCGTTAGCCAAGACTTAAAGACTACTGCACACTGCCGTGCAATAGCCGCGAAAGGTTTTAGAACGTTATGGTCAGTACGTAGGGCTTTTAGTCATGTCGACGCTAAGACGTTTTTGACTTTATATACAGTGTTCGTACGTCCTAAACTTGAGTACTGCATACAAGCGGCCAGCCCCTGCTTAAAAAAAGACAGTGAGCTTCTGGAAAAGGTTCAGAGAACGGCAACTAAGCTGATTCCCGGAATAGCGAAGCTTCCGTATGAAGCTCGACTGGCCAAGCTGAACCTTTTCCCGTTGTCATATCGCAGAACTAAAGGTGACTTGATTACAGTTTTCAAATTGCTTAGTGCCAAATTTGCACCTGATATGCCCTCATTTTTCTTGTCTTCCAAAACAAAGAATTTAAGAGGACACTCCGAAAAAGTTCACAAGCAAGAACAAATTACTTGTCAGTTGACTATCGATTTTCCCATCGAATCATCAACGAGTGGAATTCACTACCTCAGCACGTGGTTGAGGCTCCATCCGTCGGTTCTTTCAAAAAAAAGTTGGATCAACTGAGAGACCACCATTGCCAAGACTAACACAGGCCTCCTGTCCTTCCCAAACTGAAACACTGCGTAGCCTTTTTAACTGAGTAGATTAGTCAGACGAGGTTGTTTATCAACAAACGTGCGTCCTGAAGTTAACAGACTTCGCGATTCTACGTGAACAAGCAACTAATCTCAAAGTGCTTTCTAATACGTTGACCACTGTGCTAGTCAGACGTGTGTACATAGATATGAGTTTCCTCTTTCTGTCCCTAGAAATAGGCTTAACAACGTCCTTTTAATTCCTTAGTAGTTTAGTTCGGAAAAGCGACATGTTGAATGAGTGGCGTTGAAATAATACCAATAATGGATTACAACAATCGGTGGTGTAACCCATCAGTATCGACTGACTTACCTGGTCCAAGCTACTAGGCAATCGAGAACGTGCTTCCTGAGTCAAGTACTGATCTCAGGGTTCGAAGTGTCAACATTACTATTCTTCAAGTACATCTCGCTGAAGCAATTTTATGAACTTTCGGCTTTGACTGCACTTAATTCATACTGTGCCTGAATTTACCATATAACTATGGAGTGGAAACTAACATTTTGTTTAGTTTTCTTAATATTAGGAAGCTGTCACCTTAAGCATGTGTACTAAACTGCTTCTCATCAGTAGTGGGAGACAGTGGTAATCGTTTAGATATGTTTCTAACCAAACGGTACCCAAACTTAAATGTTACATGACTCATTGTAAATGGCATGTCTCAGAAGTGTTTCCTACGCCTCAGTAGCTTTTAAAATTACTATCGATCATTTGAGAGCGTAATGCTATACTGCACTCCACGAATAATAATCCCACTAAATTCAATACAGATGTGAACAAGGTTTCTTCCGTTAAGAAGCTTAGCTTTGACTTTATTCCCGAAACTATGAACGCTTGTATAGCATACGTTTATGGTGTTTGAAAAGCACTAGCCTTCAACACCCTAATAATAGAAGGTTTATTTCTTTTTTGCTCCCGAGATTTTAATCCATGAAACGCTCTCCACACTACCCAATTAGTCATTCATACGCAATGTAAAACCTAGTACATGCGTACATCGTTTCAGGTTACTACACTCTATCAGCACAGAGAGGTACAATTGTCAGGGTAAATCAGAGTAATGGCGGTAGTAACAGCAATAGTGGTAATAAAAGACATTAGGCATCGAAAATACGGCTTGAGAAAATATGATTTGGTGGAATAAAAAACCACTGGCAAAGTATACCTGGTGTAAACACTAGAGTGAATATGAATATTTTATATGTGGGGAGCATAACTCTTACAAAACAAACTAAATAGTGCTTAAGCACCATTTTCTCGACCAGTGACAGTTACTAGTAAGTTAGAGGTAGGCTAGGAGTAGCTAAACTAATATGTAACATCGGTCCATGAATTCACTGGCTTTGTTTAGGTCACGTTAGCATGTGCAAACTACTTGGTTGGGTCCTCTTGATGATCGTAAACAGTGGTTAAAAACGGGTGATGACTCAAATTCGTCTACAATGGTTCAGATTCATCTTTCAATTTTGAATTCCAGTATCCCTTTATATACACGTTTCCACTATGTCTTTGTAAACTATATTCCCAAGGTTTAGCATTTCTTTTCGATCTCGTTCTCACCTCAGTTAATCAGATATGGGAACTTCAGTCAACATACATCTGAGCTAGGTTCTATGTTAGTGTCTGTTTCCCAGATAACACAAACTAATGTATCAGTCCAAATGTTGAAGCCAAAATAGAAAACAGTGAAAGAAATTGTGACTTAAATTAAGACTAAGAGTCAGATAACGACACGATCAAAAGCGGTGAACATAGCTTTTAAAGAGACAAAATCCGTCCCTAGTTTGATCATTTGAAATATGATGAAATCAAACAACACTAAGCCAGCCAAACGTCAAGCACAGAATCGGCAGTCAGTCGGATCTCCGATCAGGAATATACTACCAAATAATTTGGGAGTACATATTACCAAAGCAATAAGAATTGGTGAGTTGGCGATGACACTCAACCTCGAAAAACTTTGAAGTTAGTACTCGGAAGTAATTATGAAAGAAAAGTATTAAAGAAGCACATCAAATTCAACAATCGACTTGTAGTTAGTTTTCGCAATGTGAGATAGAATTAACTGATTACTGCCTAATTTAGTCAGCTATCTGGAATACTATTTTATAGACTGCTTACGTTATACATACTTGTTTTTGAAACCACTACCTACATCACTGCTGTTCGTTATTTCTGAAGTCTTTTTAAGATTTTTTTTGTTACCTAACATTCAGCTGTTAGATGTTGTTATGATTTTATGTCCGGCTTTTTATCACGTGATTTATCCACCAATCAAAATACGTCTTATACAATCTTAACACTATGCCAAACCAATGATGTTCAACCGGTATGAGCAGTCTAGCGTCCTTATTGGTCCTATGTCCTCTTAGCCCGTCCACTTGAGTCCAGAACACAATACCAGCTTCTGCAATATGAATCGAATCGTTTATTTCAGACATACTCGGTCTATATATCAATCAAACAGACCGCAACGTATCATAAAACAGAAAATAACGTGTACACAAATAAGCCAAAAAGTGGCTGTGAACGCGTGAGATAGTAATTAATAGACTGATCATAGCTTAAGAACCGTAAATCGTATAATAATAAATTATAGATCAAAATAAAACTTATAATAAGGGGAATATAAATATACATAATCTAATTGTTGATTAGTTATACAATAAGAATATTTATAGAACATTAGTCCATTAATAGTCCTTGGAAGTTACCCGTAATTTAATCTTCTCTGGGATAGATGTTATAGGGATTCAGTCGCCTAGAAACACAAGTTCTGATAACCTCATGAGTTTGAACCTAACACTTAGTTTGGTTTAATGTCTCGCTTCGTCCATAAATAGCTCATGTAATAGTTGATGAATCATAGCTATTCGAGCAAAAACTAGTAATAAGCATCAATGTTTGCTAATTTTTTTCAGTTTTTCTCACTAGACCGCTTAACGGAAAAATGCATCGCTAACTGTAAGTATAAAACACAATTTGAAATACTATAGGCTCCATTGTCTTGTGGATCAGACCTTTAGGCCAAAGGCTCCGAGTGTGGCCTAAGAAAACCACGTGCTTCGATTTGGGCACCCGGGCAGTACCACAGCCCTCACACAAATAAAATGAGATTTGTGTGGCGCATATGTATGTGGTAACCCCTTGTACTAATATCTGTGTTCAAATAAATAAATTTCCTAATCGATAAAGTTTTCTCTTTCAGGTTTCGTACTACTATCTTTTTATCCTAAATCCTTGTTATGTCTACGTTACCTGAAGGTTGGGTATCTCGAATCAGCTCTAGTAGTGGTTTGTTTCTAGTTTCTCTTTATAACTAAACAAATGTTTTATGAAGGCAAACCATACTATGTTAATACAGTTACAAATGAGTCGCAATGGGAATATCCTCAGCATCCAGTCATATCCACAAATAAAGTTCGATGCTTACATTTACTAGTGAAGCATAATGAATCTCGACGTCCCTCATCTTGGAAACAACAGAATATCACTCGATCTAAAGATGAAGCCTTAGATTTAATAAAAAGTAAGTTTATCACTACTTTTTGTGCACAACACTAAACTATATATTGACTTCATACATTTCTCTTAAGCTTGATGTATGTGTTGCATTGAAACAATATTACTAGATATTGAAAGTCATCTAATTAAATGTTCATTGGACATGATAAACAGAAAGTGAACAGGAGTCTGTAGAAGAGCTTTTACTGTTTTCAATAAAAGGTCAATATGAAGACCAATAATGGTCAAATAAACATTTTTAATCTGTTAGTATTCCGTTAAAATTAAAAACTCAACTAAATTAGATACTAAAAAACATGTGGCTGGAGTTCAAAGGGTTTACAGGTCACCAATGTATGATAAATATGGTTTTTGGGGTTAGATATTTCAAAGAAAGAGTGTATCGTATTAATAAATTGGCTATCCTTTCTCATAACTAGAAATTCATGCTTTCTGATATATGTTTATATATATATACTTTTAAAGCTAACGATTGTGTATTTTGGGGGGATTATGTGCTTCTTAGACTACAATAAAGGATTAAAATGACCATTGAATAAATTGGTGTAAAAAATAATTCCGAATGATGAAAGAGACCAGCGAAAAAGATATCGGTATCTTTTCTCTCATTTCACATCAAACTATTCTTATACAAATGCCAAGAATTTCTCTGTGATTGGAGAAATGTATTCAACGGAAATCTAAGACTTTATTTGTTTTTATCAATCTATACTAAATTAACTGAATATAGTCGTCAAGATACACAAATGAACTGGTCCTAAACCTTACATAACTAGGAAAAAGAATCTTTTCTCAAGTGGAGAAACATCTATTTGAAAAGTCACGAACCTGGAATGTTTTAGTTCCTAATTCAGTTATTTTTGGTCAATATAAATGAATTCAATGTTCAAAATATGCATCCCTGTTTCACTGCAATTTATATACAAATATAGAATCGATTAATGTTTATAATTTACACTGAGTTACCAATGGGTAGTAATTGATGTATTATTGTTTAGTCCTGGGCTTTGATTTCAAATTCTCTTGACCTGATTTCAATGTAGCCATTAGTTTAATTGAACATAGTGTACACCATTTTTAAGATGAGGCGTTTGGAAACAGTCGCCAGGAAGCCATCTCTGACCCCTAGATTTCTTGTTCTTTGCAAGTCGGGAGCTAAGACGTACCTGTTGTTGTGTTTCCTGTGAAATATGGACTCACTTCACTCAACGCCTTAATCAGAAGCATTCCCACTGAGATATTCAGCTTATAGCTGAACTTGCGTTGTTGTAAGATTGAAGTGTTCTCATTGACTGATTACAGTTTAGTTTGCCTAATATAGTTCGTACTTATTCTTCATATTCACAAGTGTGTTTCTTCTTTCCTCTTGTCTTTTCTCTTTTAGAATACAAACAACAAATTGAAGCTGGTGAATATACATTTGAAGAACTTGCCCGAACTGAAAGCGATTGCAGTTCAGCTCATTCTGGTGGTGATTTAAATTTCTTTAGTCGTGGTCAAATGCAAAAACCATTTGAAGATGCTGCATTTAAATTAGAAATTGGTGAAATGTGTGGTCCTGTATATACAGATTCTGGAATTCATTTAATCAAACGAATTGCATAATAAAACAATAATAGGCAATTAAATTGAATATAAAACTTGAAATATTTCACCCTTTTGCATTTGATTTAAATAAAAGATCATGTTTATTAATAGTACTTGATTTCTTTTCTTTCTTAAAAGTCAGTAACCCCAGTATTTCAGTTAACTGTTTATGTATTGTAAATTTTCTACCTTTTTGGACTGAAGTGGTTAATAGTGATTTGGGAATTACTTTTGTATATCGTTTCATGATGTTTTGTCTTATGTAAGTTGGATTGTCTATTCCTTAAGTTTTTTATTATTTATAGCATAATGCTAGATAATATCGCATCAACAGTGAATGATAATTCTTTACTTTTCTCTATACTGAAAGAGTTGATTATACTAAAGTATTTTATTATAATTGATGTTGCAGATCAACATCATAACTAGAACATAGAACTAGGAATTTAAGAGTAGATTACACGAGATTGGGACCTGTGACTGGTTAAAACACCAAATAACAACTCAGCATTAGTCTTGATTGTAAATCGACTTGAGTTTCTGTAATCCATCTAACAAATTATATATGTGAATTATCTATCCAATTAATCAGTCATCAGCAACGTAGAATCTGACACATGCATATTTATAAGTTCAAGTTGTCACACTATATTGGTGCGATTAGATGAAATTACCAATATAATTGCCTTAGTAGTAGAGCCCCCAAATGCCCTGGTACGGCCGACAGTGGACACAGTCAGCTCTCCCTCTCGAAATGCTCTCACGTGGCCACGCGTATATAGTCTCTGCCAGGGAAGTCCTGCTCACTGCCTTCTGGTGGCGGGGGTGTTGTTTACGAAATTGAGATTACGTAAAGCGAATGTCCGGCGCTTTTACCAGGTTGGTGGACACCGTGAGTTCACCTAGGGGAGTTGGAAAACCGTGATTTCAAACCAATGGTGCACATGGGCTCTAGGATCCTGAAGGAACAAATGGCGTATGTACCAATCGTTGGTCACCGGCTATCATGGGAGTGCATCTCCGTACGTTGCTCCACTGCCTTGTGGATTAGACCTTTAAGTCGAAAGCTCGGGGTGTGGCTCCCTAAGAAAACCACGTGCTTCGGTTTGGGCACCCAGGCAGTATCACAGCTCTCACACATACCAAATCAGATTTATGTGGCGCATATGTATCCGGTGACCCCTTGTACTAATATCTGTTTGTTCAAATAAATAGGTAGAGTAGTAGAAATACTAGTAGTGTTAGCCTTAGTAGAAAAGATTAGGCATAGGAAACATGATTTATGAAGAAAATGAATTCTCAGGAGTACAGTGTAGCTTTCAAATTGAGAATCTAAGAGAAGACAAATTGAGCGGGTCTATGGTGGAGATTTGTAGCTCAGGTGGATGATTTTGATGGAGTTTTGTTCTCTGAGCTGGATGGTTTTGTCATGGAGCTTTCGTCGTTCTTCTGAACGACATCATCAGCACAAACTTCAGATAGAAGTGGAGTGTTCGAATTTCTCCATATGCGTTTCACAGCTTGTTCTGTACACCTTGACATTGATTGGTTCTTACTGACATTGTTTCCTTCTTTGTTTTGGTTGTCTCCCATCGGTTTGACTTTTGTTCCTATATCTGTGCATAATTTTCCTGATTGGTTGATAAATTGGATCGATATCAATGTGCTTGTTGATTGCTGATTGACCCGATCGAAGCTGCTACCTTGACGCGGTGGTCGGGCTTGCCTATCGTGATGACCCAACCGAGCTATATTGGCTGGAACATATGTTCCTGCAGGTTCTACCATGCCAGGCAGGTCGATTGGCGAACGGTAAGACTAAAAGCAGCAACTCAAGGTCTGAGGGCGAAGTCGTACTGCTGACTGTAGAGAGGTGTGACAGCAGTAAGGTGTTTCCCTCGGACAACCAGCATGACAGCGATGCTGCCTTCCCACAAGGAGGGATGGGGTTAGAAAAGGTCGACCCTAAAAATGCACACCTCACCTTACCTCACGGATTTCCGTCTCCGGCGGTAAGGCCCTTTGAAGAACGGAGCTAACACGTCAAAAACCTTCCACAAAAAGGCCGTGCGCGACCGGCCTCAAGCAGTTGTCCCTTGGGCTCTGCGGTCACGCTCCCAGGTCGTCAAGACCAACACTAATCCAATTTCCTTTTCAGGTTCCTCAAGAAATACCCTTCCACGGTGTGGGCAGCCGGGAAGTGACATCAGCCCTCATACCCGTAACCACAAGAGACCAAGGTGGTCACATTCAAATCCTTCCTACACCTCCTAATACCTATTTTATCTCCCCGACTAACCCTCCTCACGTCTCTTTATCACCTGGCACCGCTAGGGCAAACGATTCGAGTACGTGGAACGCCATTCCTGGTCTCCTGAAACCACGCTCTAAACTACACGTAGGAGCTTTTAACGTACGAACACTTTGCCAAATAGGACAGCAGGCTTCATTAGCTAAAACTTTAGAATCCCGTGCCATCGATGTGTGCTGCGTCTCCGAAACGCGCATACAGGATCCGAGTAGCGTCATTCATTTGACCTCACCATACCAAAATAAAGAACCGACTCGATTTACGCTTCGTGTATCTGGAAGCCCTGATTCCGCTTCCCGTGGCCTCGCCGGCGTAGGTATAGCATTGAGTCCTAGGGCAGAACTAGCTCTCTTAGAGTGGATCCCAGTAGACATTCGTTTGTGCGCTGTCCGACTGAACGGAACAATAAGAATCCGGAAAGATAGGGACACTCGTCGTTGCCTCTTCGTCGTCTCTGCCTATTCTCCCACTGACTGGAGCTCAGATGATGTAAAAGATGAGTTTTACAGAAAGCTTTCGGACCTTCTCCGAAAAGCTAAGCGCTCGGATGTAGTAATAGTGGCCGGTGACTTTAATGCTCAAGTAGGTAAACTAAGCGATAGGGAAAGACACCTAGGTGGATCTTATGGTGTCGTGGCTCAAAGAACAGATAATGGCGACCGTCTGTTGCAGCTATGCTCAGATAACCGCCTGTTCCTTGCAAATACTAACTTTAAGCATAAGGAAAAACATCTTTTAACATGGCGACCCCCTAATTCGTCCCAACGTTGGACCCAAATAGATCACATCGCTATCAGCCACCGATGGAGGGGCTCGATAGAAGACTGTCGCTCATTCTGGAGCACATGCCTAGATTCAGATCATGCTCTAGTGCGAGCGCGTATTTGCTTGCGTCTTACTGGACATAGGAAAGACGCTGCAACGAAACCTCTTAGGGTCCTACTTAATGATAGTCCAGCTAAGAGTATATTTCAGGAACAACTAGGAAAACAGTTAGGCATCCATGTATGTGATGCCCATTCCGGTGCAGCATGGAATGATATCCGAAAAGCTGTGGAAACAGCAGTGATATCTGCTAGCAAGGTAAACCAGAAGGTTAGGGAGCAACACTGGATCTCACAAGCATCTATCTCACTGATAGTTGCTCGGAAACTCATTCCACCTGGCTCTGAACATAATGAAGATCGGAGTCAGCTTAAGCGCAAGCTGACAAGAAGTCTACGCAATGATCGCGAACAGTGGTGGGTAGCGAAAGCAAGAGAGATGGAAAAGGCAGCGGCAATAGGTAATAGCAGACAATTGTTCAGACTCGTTAAGGAAACCGGAATTAGGAACCCGACCGTTAGCGAAACAATCTCAGAGAAAGATGGACATATTATTCATTCTCAATCCAGGAGATTGGATCGATGGGCAGAACACTTTAGGGATCAGTTCAACTGGCCTTCAGCCACACTTCGGTTTCCCGCGATCTCCAGTCAACCTGAATGGCAAGTTAATGTAGGTCCTCCGTCCCTTTACGAAGTTGAAAAAGCCATAGGAAATCTGAAGCGAGGGAGAGCAGCAGGCCGTGACAGGTTTACTCCTGAGATTTTTAAGGATGGTGGTCCAGTATTAGCAATGAGATTAACCGAGGTCTTAGGTAGAATTTGGGAACTGGACGTAATCCCATCTGACTGGTCTCAATCACCGATTGTGCCAGTCTATAAGAAAGGACAAAAGTCCTCTTGTGACAATCACAGAGGAATCAGTTTGACTAATATAGTGTCTAAAATATTAGCTTCAATAATACTTCGACGCCTAACTAAAGCTCGTGAAGAGCAGACTAGAGAAAACCAGGCTGGTTTTCGACCTGGACGTGGTTGTATAGATCAGATATTCACACTACGTCAGGTTCTAGAACACAGACACACATTCAGACGCCCCACAATGGTAGTATTTCTCGATCTTAAGGCAGCATTCGACTCTATTGATCGAGAGGTTTTGTGGCATTGTTTGTCACTGAAAGGAGTACCAAAGAAGTACATTAACCTTATACAGGCTCTCTACTCGAACACAACTGGTAGAGTGAGAGCTTATGGCGAACTGTCATCAGAATTGATCACCTCAAGTGGTGTTCGTCAGGGCTGTCCACTCTCCCCATTCTTGTTCAACTTTGTCATTGACGTACTTTTAGAGATAACACTCTCCTCATCTAAATTTCCAAGGGTTGAACTTCTACCAGGAGGTTCACTTGTTGACTTAGAATATGCAGATGACATAGTTTTATTTGGTGAAGACGCTGACAAAATGCAGAGTCTTCTGACCACTCTAAGCAACAATGCAAGCATGTTCGGGATGCGATTCTCTCCCTCGAAATGCAAAATGTTGCTTCAGGATTGGGTTACATCGACACCCGAACTAGTGATGGGGAGTGAAGTAGTTGAGTGTGTCGACCGCTTCACTTATCTTGGAAGTCTCATCAGCCCTTGTGGTCTGGTGTGTGACGAAATCTCAGCACGGATACAGAAGGCTCGACTAGCTTTTGCCAACTTGCGTCATTTATGGCGTAGGCGAGATATCCGTCTATCAACCAAAGGACGTGTTTACTGTACAACAGTTCGTTCCGTCCTACTTTATGGCAGTGAAACATGGCCGGTAAGAGTAGAGGATATCCGTAGGTTACTAGTATTTGATCATAGGTGTCTTCGAAATATTGCTCGTATATCCT